TTTATGACAAATTAATGCAGAACACCATGAAATTCCAAAAGGTTCACATAGTTTTTCTTGCAACTGTATTACAAAGACTCTTTATGATATTGAAACTGCCCCACTGATGCTTGTGCAGGCAAAACAAGGAGCAAAGCCTTGGAACAAGTTTTGACAGCACTTTAACTCTGCCTGTGTCAGGTTTTATTTAATTCCTGCCCTCCTGCAACTGCTTGCTATCTTTTGGAAGTGGATTTTTAAGTGACTGACACTGATATGCTTTTTTGTTGGAAGTTATATCTGATTCCTCATTCTCCTTAATTAACAGATGGAGATCTTATAACAATCTTTGATAGTTCAGATCTTTCCTTTGCAATTCAGTGCAGTAGAATCCTGAAACTGACACTGTTCGGTAAGTAAAGATGTTGTCAAAGTTGCTTGATACTTTGGTCCTTCTTTATCTTCCTTGGTAATAAATCTTTCCTTCATTCCCAATCATGTAACTGTTCAGAGAACAGAAATGGGACATATCATTTATTCTGAAGAAGTACATAATGTTTAAATGGTCAAATGGTTGATAGTGGGCTGAACTAAGTAAAATAAAGTTATAACATCTTAAGAATATTTTGTCTTGTGTTGTGAAAACTTATTAGCATAGTATCTGTTTTATAGTTAATGGGCAGCCAAGACCGCTAGAATCAAATCAGGTAAAATACCTTCGCCGAGAACTGATAGAGCTTCGCAACAAAGTGAATCGTTTATTGGATTGCTTAGAACCTCCTGCTGAGCCTGGACTTTCTACTAGTCTCCCTGAAAATGGTAAGTTGATAACTGTTACTTAAAAATAGATTGATGTGGGAAGCCAGATACTCTTACTCATCATTAGTTGTGCGTACCTAGAAATATGCAAACATTTCAGGGTTGAAGCGCTCTGATCCCCAAACATCCCATTCTAGCTACATTTGTCATTTAGTTTATTTGTTTATTTAAAATATTTGTATGTTTGCCCATCTTGAAATGAGAACTCTGGGTGGCTCACAACCATAACATAAAGCAATATACAAAGAGTAAAAACAAGAAACAATAAAAACAGAAAAATCCAGCGCCATAAACTCTCCCAATGCAGCCCACAAAACTTTCCTCCATTCCTATCTTAATGGAAGTGTTCTGGCTGCAAAATTGGTTTGAATGGTGTGTTTTAGGTGAGGACTAAATGCTTTTTCCAGTATGGAATCATTCCTGATAAAGTCCAGATATTTTGGGTTTGGAACCTTGAACCTTGAAACATTTTGGGCATTGCTGTAATTGCTCTTTAAGTCTATAAAGTTTGGGCCACTGTTTAAATGTTGCTGTCATTTTTGTAGTTTCAGGCCTCTGAAAATTTCCATCTCTGTTGCAGATGTTGCAGAGGGTAGGGAAGACAAGCCCACTGCTGCTGATTCGACTGTCAAGCCTTCTACTCAAGTTATAGCAGCAAGTATGTCTGCTTTTGATCCATTAAAAAATCAAGATGAAATCAACAAAAATGTCTTGTCAGCATTTGGGCTGACAGATGATCAGGTGTCGGGTAAGAATATATATTTTATTGAAACTGTTGCTGAAGTTTGCTCTTTCAGAATTGGCCATGCATATGGCGCTTTCATAGATTTTACATGAACTTCAAACTTCAGATTACTGCATTACTTTAAGAATATTTGTGACATGAAGTCACAGTATTGTACCAATACTGAAATCTTTACCATTCCCAAGATAAAGTATTGTTAGTAGATATTTAGTGCAAATGACATTTCTTCTACGTGATGTTTTACATTTTTATTTTCATCTATTGGAAATGTTACAAGGCTGCCCAACCCTACAGTGATTTTGGTCATTTGTTGAATGACTAATATATTTAAATAACATGAGTGTCTGTAATAAACATTCCAGCCATATGAATAGCTTTGCTTTAAACTGTCTATTGGTAGAAGTGGACAATGCTCAAATTTAGGCATATGCAACTTCGAAATTTTCCATTTCCTTCCAGACCATTCTGTTCTAGGCAGCAGTTCAGCAGTTTCCAGAATTAAAATTTCAAACCAGAAGCAGTTTGAGGTGTTCAAGTTTGGTCTGTTCATCATAAACAGAACATCTCAATCCAGTACTGGCTCAGGGGATTTATTTTGGGAAACTACTAAACAACGCCTTGGACAACATGGTCTGGAGGAGGTTTGGCATGGTAGACAGGGAAACACAATTGTTTTAGAATCAACAAACTTTCTGCCTCACTACTTAGACTTTCAGCTTGTACCTCCCTGAAGTCATTATGGTATAGTGGGCAACATACAACTTCTAGCACTGCAGATCATACAGTGGAAATTTGATGGCAAAGGATCTAATCTTGGAAGTAATTTTCTGTTGTTCCTTGAACAACAAACTTGCTTGAAAGCTCTCTGAGGCTTATTGCATTTACTTCACATTTAATCTCATTTCCCCATTTAATTTCCTCCTCCATTGATGACATCACTAGACATGTCCTCTGCAATCTCAGGCTGGAAAATAAGTGTGTCCAAAAAAATTGCCCATCCCTGTTCAGGGCCTTAGTTTTCCACCTGTTGATAATATCTAAGAGATTAAGATTTGCAGAAATATGTTTCTTGTGCGTCCTATATAAATGTGAGCTTATACTACTAGATTTTATAAAAGGTTACATTATGGATATTGTGAATACAGCTGGTGCTACAGTATATACGTTTGACAGATAACTAAGTCTGAGAATATTGTGTGATTTTGTTAAGAAAACAAGGATAGTCCTTATTATTGCATATATTGAAATAGGAATGAGATCACTTTGAAAGCTTAAAAACCACACCATGCATAGAGAAATCTATTCATTTATGAATCAGTGTATAAACTACTTCAATTTTAAAAAGCTGTAAGTGGTGTGCAAAGAGCAACAAAGCCAGTGCAAATAATAGCATGCATACACATGTAATGTAAATATTAAGGTCTTTTATATGCTATTATAATTAGCAGTTACATACCTGATGATAGTAATTCCTTCTGAAAGGTCCCAAACTCTCTGTGGGACAGCCATGTTTTCACAAGTTTCTCGAAGGTTGCAAGAGCGGGAGCCATCCTTGTTGAGCAGAATACAGCAATGCTCCCAGAAAAACTTTTGCCCAAGGAAAAAATACACACCAGCATGATAGGTTTGCAAACTGAAATGTCCATATCTTGTTCTCCAAAGAAACTCAGCCAGAAAATATATACTATCTGGTTGTTTATTGATAAAATGCAAAACTTCATAAAATACAAGTTGTATACAAAATAGTTGAGCAGAATACAGCAATGCTCCCAGAAAAACTTTTGCCCAAGGAAAAAATACACACCAGCATGATAGGTTTGCAAACTGAAATGTCCATATCTTGTTCTCCAAAGAAACTCAGCCAGAAAATATATACTATCTGGTTGTTTATTGATAAAATGCAAAACTTCATAAAATACAAGTTGTATACAAAATATAAGAAAAAACACGTCTTATCATAAATTCAGCATCCAAGACTTATCTACAAACATAAAGTCTCTAGCCAAAAACTCTCAG